GAGTTTTTCAGAATTTGTGCGCGAAATTTAATTTGATATTTACCATGTGCTTTTCGGTGAAGATAAATATTGTGGACGTCGAAGAAGGTTCTCAGCCCTCAGAAAACGTGTAAAGTCCGCAATGCATTGTCCAGTGTGGTGAACGTTGCCCTAAACCCTTGTCTGAGAGGAGACCCTGTGCCCAGCAGTGGGTCGTATAAATGGGTTGGCGATGATTCGTCAGAGAAACAAAGACTCAAACACAATTGACGACTGGTATGGATAAATCTAAAAGTAAATATAAAAGTTATACTAAAATTAAAAGCTGCACCGTTGACCACCTGGATGGATGAATAATGTAAAATTTTATTTGGTTTGTACTTACAATGCGATCCTGGCCAGCGGTCCTTTTTATGATGATAGTACATTCGCCGCATTTCACGGTTGCCTTTCTGATTTTCCCTCGACTTATTCTTATGTTGTCATAAAACTTTATGTTTTCGAAAAGATGGTATTTGCCAGCCGTTGGTACCATCTATACTCTGGCATTGGTCATGCCGACTGCTCGCATTCATTTGACGTCTTTTCCTATAACATGATATATAATCACACTTATCGTAATGGTCGTAAGAATCACATTTGTGTACTTCAGATTCGTCACCACGCCATGCAGGTGGGTAAGGAGTGTCACGCTTATAAGCAAGCGTTGAACAATTCTTTAGAGGTGCTTATTAAAATATTTGTTGTACTGACGTTATTTATTTGTATATGAGGAGGGCTTTGTGGCGCGCCGACTGTCGCTCCTCTGATGTAGGTAGAAGGCGAACCAGCTCTAATACCGCGGCCATTGTGAACAACTGTGACCAATCCTTGTATGTGAGATAATAACATCGCAAAATTAACAACGATTCATTTCGGAAAATTGAAACAGTGTAAAACATCTTTTTAACCAACTTAAAAAAAAGGAGGAGGTTCTCAATTCGACTGTATTTTTTTTGTGTGTTTGTTACGCTATTACTCCGGCATTTGTGAACCGATTCGATGATTCTTTTTTGTTAGAAAGAGTGTACCTCAGTATTAATCTCATTTAAATTTGAAGAAACTATTCCACCTCTAAGGGTGGCAAATTAAGGGATGAATCCGGTCTCGCGCACTTTCTGATAACCGTTTTCAATAACACTTGGCAAATAAATGTAATTAACTTCGATCCGGCCGGATTCGAACCGACGTCTTCTAGCATACCGTGTCAGACGCTGTACCAACTAAGCCACGGAACGAAGCAGCGGATCTCATGAATTTTTCTGTGTGCTTGCGTCGTATCTTTGTATTTGATTTTTCAACGACTTTTTTAGCCGTGGCGCTTATGAGAAATCTATGATATTTCGTCACCCAGTTAGAGACCTTTATGTCGATATTAATTGTATTCTATTGAATTGAACAATTGAATAAAAAATTTAAATATAAGTTTTGGTTAGTTTTAATTATAATACATTCTGAGAATTTCAAAGAAATAAAATGGATTCAGCGTGTTCGAACTGTAAACACATCTATTTTTTTTGCTATCTACGCCAATAAAATTTCAGGTCATCAACATCATAATCGTTACAGCCGAAAGATGTCCACATATGTATACCTCGCCAAAAAAAACGCAACAACGACCGGTCTCGTGCTGCTCGCATACAGCGGATTCCCGCAACCTTCACCAGATCATCTGTCCACCTTGTGGGTAGTTTTTCAGCTTTCAGATTTCAGCTCTAATTGTTGCAAATTTTATTGTACCATGTTTTATTTTTGTCTATATGTACTCATATAGTTAAATAGTTGTTTTTGTTGAATGAATTGAATTTACCATTTCATAAAAAACCTTATTCAAATTATACGATTTGGTTGAGCTCGTTACGTTACAAATATATTTACAACAGATGCAGGATTCGGTTGAATCAATTAAACTGGAATCGATTATAGGAGGGTTGTAAAACGGCCGGCTCCTGCGCCGCGTCTGCATAGAACGAATCGTCCCAATTATTGCCCCTTGCAGGGAAATTAAATCCAGGCTCGCTCTGCCCTCGAGTGGCCGATCGGCGCGATGTATTCACATGAGACTGTTCATATTATAAGGCATACAATTTTTATCTGCAGCTCCGATCTTTAAACAGAGTGGAGTGGATCTCGCAGACGCTGCGGCGCGGGCGCACAATGAGTGAGACGCAATATATGCGAAGAAATAAGACAACAAACTCGTCCGGCCGTCCAGGGGTCGAATATAAATGTGGAATGTTTATGGTTCTACCGTTTTATTTTCTTATGCCGGCGCAAAGTATTAAATATTGTTTCAATTGAAAGCGGCAGATCAGAAGGCTGTTCTAATGAAGAGTGGATTAATAAAAGCTCATGTATGACTGAGTTCGAATTGCAAACGTCCTCATTAGAGTACATTAGTACTTATCTAGATACGTCTGGGCCGGCGGCGGGGAGAACAGTGGGCAAAGAAGGCATACTACTTGTGTTACGAGTGTTGATATTGATCTATCAGACACGCATCAGTGTCGGCAGCGTTATCCGCTAATGGCTCTAAGTGAAGATTAAATCATATACTCACACGATAAACAAATTTGTTATGAAACATACGAAAACAGTGAGGGAGCAATGCAGATGCTGTCCGCTTAATCTTCTTCTTATCGTATCGATGGCATATACTATAAATGCTTGCCATCGTGGTGAAAGGATTTGCCAATCCGAGTAGGACACTTGCCGACTGTTGCCCGCTTAAGAAACAACTGATAGATCAAACTTGACTTCTATTTACCATAATATTCCTAAGAAAAAGAGAGCATACAGAATAACGTATACGTATTAAGTAGCAGTAGAGCTCCTCGTGAAAGAGTTCGTCGAGGGAAGTACTGCCACCTTACCTATTTCTGCCGCCAAGCAGTATAATGTGAACATTACTGCAATAGAATTACTGAATTGAAGTGTAAGGGTGCTGAAATTACAGGCATATGGGACTTGTCAACTTATGTCTCAGGGTGATAGGCGCAGTGGCAGTGAGATCTTTGCGATTTGAAGCTCAGAATGGTACTGCAACTGTTATGGAGGCGTGTCGCTTACCACCAGGCGCACGACTGCCCGTCCCGCCACTTGGTATCATAAAAAAACGTGTGTCATGGCTAAGATTTGTAAGAGAATGACCTACTTTCTCCACCAATCATTTGTCTAACAGTGCAGATCTTAGGGAAAGCTAATCGTGCAACAGCAATAAAAGAAAAGTATGTCACAGGATTTCCATACACGGTAGAGTATGAGTACATAGCGGACAGCGTGTGTGCGACCGCCGACCGCCCGCGCACAAAGCCATTGTCGCCACCGCTTTCATCCTGCGCTTGGGCATAGCGGGCCAGCGCGGCACATTGTCAACGATTCGTCGCGGCGCCGGCCCCGCTGTCACAACACCTACCATCACTCGTGCCGACACAAGCACCGACTGTTTGCATTGTACTACGTGCCATGACATATCGTTTGTCCACTCGCCGCCCGCTGAAGATGCCGACGCATGACTTACGCCGTTTTATGAAGCTCAGCTTTGTTGCCGATGAATGAGAACAGTCATTATAGTCGGATGCAAAGAAGGTCGCGTTAACAATTACCTAGGCATTAACTTTCATTGTCCACACATTTAATGTAAGGATGGCCCGTTCAGACAACGCCGGACGCGTGATGTTGCAAACGGTACTTACTATTTACAGCTCAAATGAAATCCAACTCCTATTATTCCCGTTTCAGTCTAAGCGCATGAATCACTCACAAAAAGACATTCTATTAGTACGTTCCTATGTATAATTTTAAATAACGCGATGCATACAAATCTTGTTAATGGACCTGTCTCGAGGCTGTACAAGCTTTGTCTATTTATTGTATTAGATAACAAAACCATGTTTTCGCAATATTTATTTATATATTTTTGTACACAAAGATCGAAGAAAAAGAAAAATTCGTTCGATCCAGTTAGACTTGAACAAGCGACATTTTCGCCTAACGCTCGCTGAATTGCCGAGGCCTTACGAATTTTTCCATGTGTTTGCTTATCTTTGTTTTTGGTTTTAATGGATTTTTTGCCGTAGCAACATCTGTGAGAAAACTGTGAAAGTTTTTTCTTCACTCGGCCAGATAATATGTTTTCGACTACAAAGTTACTAAAATATAGGAACATAAAGTGTTATGTCTCGAGGTTGGCGTAGACAATCTTCAAGAAAATTAATATTGCAGCCAGATTTGGGTATAAAATTAAACGCTCAAAAACATGAAACACATAAAGAATTTGTTTTATTTTTGTTCTACAAGAGACTACAGTAATAATTTATAAATAGCTATGTCCACAAGTTAACATCTAAAGCTGTACATATTTACAAATACATGTCTAACATAAGTATCACAGATTCAAAACATAGTTAAGTACATTTACAGACGCTTACGAGTGCGGACATAAATTGCTATTAATGATTTTGAGAGAAATTACTGATGTTTATTACATACTTCTTAACATTATTTTGAATCATATTGTAAAGTTTCAGAGTTTCAAATAAATAAAATCTATTTACAGTAATATCGAAATATGGAAATACTAATATTGTTAACAAACATCCACTAACACATTTTGTATGTATTTACTGTAGATTTAAAAAAAAACATTATCAACAATTCGCACTCGTGGTTATAGTAGGGTCACGTGTGCAAAATTCAGACAAAAGGTTTAAAGATTCTACAAATTAGTCAATAACTTTTTTATGCTTAAATAAGAGAGTTATAAAATTTTACATTATACATAATTTGTTTAATATAGTTCATCTTATTTTTATGATTTTCTTGGCTTTAGTATACCTAGACTACGAAAACGTGAGCATAAAAAGTTATCGATTAATTTCGTTGGTAGAATCTTGAAATCGTTCTCTTGAAAAATTGTTGTTTTGCAGATGTGGCCTTATTACATCAAGAGTGCGATGAATTGTTATTATGACTTTTTTTCAAATACGATTATTTTTACTTTACTTTTGCTTACGAGACATCAGTAATTTCTTTCGAAATTGCATTGTTATGTAATTGGGAAATTATTAATCATGACTGCTAGAAATATTCAAACCTGAATAGTCCTTTTCAGCACGCACTCCCTGAAACAAATAAAATATTTAATAACTCGCATCCTTGTTGTGATAACGACACATCTGCAAATCAACAAATTTTCAGGAGAGAGATTTAAAGATTGTATGAAAGTAGTCGCATAATTTATTTTATTCTTAAATATGAGAATAATAAAATTTGATATATACAGAATTTGTTTCATGAAGTTCGTATTATTTTTATGACTTTAATAATATGATAAAAGCACGTTTGACCTAATACGATCTTTTTTATTTTTTTTTTGTAAGCGAGCGCCTTTTGGTAAGCGATATGCCTATCCATTACATTTGCACTGTCAACCAGAGCTTTAAATCACAAAGACCTTAGGGGCACTTCCACTGCGCCCGTCACCCTGAGACATAATGTGCCTGCAGTAATGCTCACATTACTGCTTGGCGGCAGAAATAGGTAAGTTGGAAGTAGTTCCCTGGACGAACTCTTTGACAAGGGGCTCTACTGCTACTATATTGATCGTACATGGTTTTATTGCTACGAAATATAGATCTAATAACTAATCATTCAACGTGTTAGCATGACCCTGCAAAGGGGGAATAGAGCCCCCTTTTTGGACAAACTGGCGCGTAACTGTAACGTAGAGTGTTGGTACCCAATTTCGTCTATTTAATCTTGTCTTAGAGGTCTAAAGTATATAAACTGTTGATGTATTTCTTTGTTTTGTTAGATAAAGATGTATGGAAAGACGACATGGCCCTAGATTCCACACAAATTTGATTCAAATGTATTGCCATAGCATTTAAATTTATTTGAAAAGAGCAACCCTTAGAGTTTCTTGCTCGTTCTTCTCAGGGAAGACAGCACAGTGAATGAGCAGTAGCTTAAAAAATGGCGTAAATTTATTTTACCTATGGAATAAATTAGTTAAAGTTTTTACTTTAACTTTTGTTTGTCGAATGAATACTATAAACTAAACCTAACTAAACTCACATGCCAACATTATAGTGACAGCGGATCCATGTAAATATTATATACATACATGTAAAAACAGCCTTTCATTTATATTCATGGATGTGTCAAGTCGACAAAGGCTGTACGTACTTTTCTTATAGGTGTATTATTTTCCATTGTAATTTACATTGTTAGTCATTTTCCACAGTTATGACTTAATAAATGATTATTAGCATTAGCTTAAGCTCTTTTATTACCTTATAAGAATCTACCACTCAAACGAAAGACTATTTCCACTGATAAAACCGAGAATGAAAATCAATGGCTGCTTTTTTATGTCAACATTATGTTAAACTGTACACATGTCGTGTTACAAAGTTTTGAATAATATTTTTCTGGTACATTATTTTTTTAGCAGTTTTAACGGCTTTGGCATAAAGACCCACACACATAAAGACCAGTGTAATATTTTCTCAAATATGATTAGAATGTATGAAGAATTTAGTAATGTTTTTTTACTTGGCGCTTTCGTGGTTAGTGCGATGTGAAATACGCTCACAAAAGCTCATAAAAACTTCAAAATATATAATATATATATAAATAAACTAACCATCAAAATGCTGCAAATTAACCTTAATATTTGTGTTACAACAAAACATAATCAATCGTGTACTTTTCGAGAAAAGCAAATAAATACTCTTTATATTATAACTTATTTTATTATCGTTGGTTAGTTCTCAGATCGAATTAGTATATTTACCTATATTAAAGAATACATAAACAAGTAGATAATACCTCCCTCTGGAATTCTGAATTATTGTGTTGTATTTATTGTCTAAACATGTAACTAGCAATTACTTTACTACGGTATTATGGCTGGAAGAGGAGCTTTATAATTATATGAAAAGATATATCTAACTTTGTTGTGAGTTTTTACCTTTTAGTTTTACTCATTCCGAGATTTCAGAGGGTGGCATTATTCTCCCTGTGTGTATTACTTGAAATTATATTTAATAGGAAATGAAACTATTTTTCCGGATTTAAATCGCGTATATTTGTTTTTTGAAACAAACTGACGTTTCGGGCCCTTTACAGGTCCCATGGTCACGGTTGACGGTATTTAATGGTAAATATAACTCGTTTCGATCTTTTGTCATAAAACAATAGGTTAAATTGATTGTAACGATCTCGAGTTGCTTGCACACCGGTTTACGTGGTGTCGCCATCTCTGACGTCCCGGGTTTGATCCCCGGTCGGGTGAACGTAGAAACAAAATTTTCTATATTGTCTCGGGTCTGGGTGTAAGTGGTACCGTCGTTGTTTCCGATTTCCTTAACACAAGTGCACTAGCTACTTACTTTGGGATCAGAGCAACGATTGTGACGTTGTATAGTTCTTAATTTTGTTGTAATGTAGTTTTAGTTTATAACATATGTAGATATAAAAACTGTTAGATGATATTTACCTTGAAACTCGAAAGTTCTTCAGTCGAATCACTCGACTCAGTAATTCCAACACACACTTCGTTAATTATTTGTCTACGTTACTATAAACATGAACTGTCTCTAGAACTCACAAATAGAGCTATTATTGCTGAGATCGTTCTGAATTTCACACCCACGGTGCGTCTGTGAACAAAAAGAAGTAGGTATTTATGTGTAACCAGGTGAATAATTGTTACAAGATTCTCACAAAGTTTGATCATATCTTAATGAAATAAAAATTAAATAAAAATATCATCACAATTATTTTATAATTACTTAATTATTAAATTAATAATTACTTTCAATTTATGTAATAATATAAGTGCTGTAGCAATTGCATGATTCTAATAGTTGTTGTTTTTATTCATATTGATTTTAAACTCGTAATTGTCATGTATACTGCAAAAGGCCGTGAGTTTCACGTTTTACTAATAATGCTTTAGTCATAACGTTCAATTATATAAACATTTAATTACTCAATGATTAAACATTGAAACTATATAACGTTATATAAACACTGAAGACGTAGGATGCAATTGGACGTATATGCTTCGAAAGTAATCGTGTTGAAATTTAGTTTTGTGATTACCAATTATGCAGTTAGAGGCTACGCCTAGAAAAGAGGATTATATGTAAGTTTCTAACATTTTGAGCGGGGAACAAAAAGGTGTCTTGTCGAGGTGTTTTAGTGTGAAAAGGATTCCAAGTATTACTATGTGTTTTTGAATGCTTTTCCTCTATACAATTCTTCTATATATATTAGAGTGTTAGGTATTGCCAAGGCAAAGATCGAATTTCAATGAAACCTTTGTCTGTCTATCTTTGTCTGTATGTGGCATCGTAGCTCCCAAGATTCCGGATATCCTGATCATAATGCGTTTTTTTTAATTTGAAGGCTAATTTAATCATGATAGTTCTAGCTTTCTATACCTTGTTCCGGGTGCACAAAAGGAGCTTTATTTACGTTCCCAGTATTTGTCGCACCCTGGACAACAAACCTTAAACCGATTGGCAAACCCTTTCGCCGCGATGGCAAACATGTCTCATGTATGTTAGATCTGGACTGCAAGCCAAGTGGCTTTCTAGAATAGTGGCCTATCTCAAAAGCATCTCATTCATAAGGAAGATGGTTTAAAAAAGCCGAGGCGTATCTACCGCGCTAAATTGACATATCGTAGACTATCCCAACGTTGACATGTGACTATTTTAACCAATTGCACTATAAAATTTAGCATATTTCGAACAAATCTCAGTAATAGACCATAAAAGGAGCTATTTTCGATTGGGCCACTATTCAAGAAAAGCAGCGATATACTATGATAGACAAATTTGTCGAGTCCAAATGGAACTATTTGACGTGTTTAATTTAAAAACTTTTTAAAACGTAAACAAATACAAAAGAGCAATTTCTCGAACTTTTTACTCATTGATTTAAGGAAAATCTGCCTGTCAAATGATAAGTAATTGCATTTAGAAATCAATTTACGGGGCATTGTTTAAATTTTTAACGGTTATTTTGTCTGTAGGTAATAGGAAAATCCGGTTTATCGAGGAAAGGCCCTTACAAAACACTTTTATTATATTGTAGCTTTGCCGGGATCGTAATTTTGTGTTAAATCAATGTTATGTCTTCAGCAAAAAATGTTTCTAGTTTTCATATTTCAATTTTGTGGTTTATCGTGCTTTAATAATACATTTGTTAAGTGGGAATAAATAGTTTTATTAATAGTTTTGTTAAACACAAAAGACCTCCCACAGGATAAATAAATTATAAGATTTGGTTAGCGGATTAAAATGGAATAAAAGAATTAAGCTCCCAAACTGGATGATTAGTAATAAGCATCTTGGTTAACTAAAAGTAAGTAAATTATCTAAGGTGTCAGGATGTTGTATAACGTAATGAAATTAGCTAGCCTATAAAGATAAAATTTTGGTGAAACTACAGGCACATGGGACTTATCAACTTATGTCTGAGAGTGACAGGTGCAGTGGCAGTGCCTTTCAGGTCTTTGCCATTTTTGAATCTCTGAGTGGCACTGCAACTGTCCATAAGACAGGCGTGCAACTTATCACCAGGCACACCACTTGTTCGTGTCGTCACGTGATATTATAAAAAAAAAACCCTCTTTAAAAATTTAACCAAAAAGTAAGTAAATTTTCGTTTATCATTTTAAATCAAAGCAAGACCGTTCGAAAAGTTTTCAATGGACTTCATTTATTTCGGGTTATTTTAAAACACTATTTATATAATTGTACATAAGTGACTTGGATGCTCGTCGTGTCCGACCGACAAATCTGGCAATTTTCGGAGGAGGCGTATCTTCAGCAGTAGACAACTTCGGGCTCATATGATGAAGTGACTTCGTGTAATGTAGACAGATTTATGATAATACGCAATACATAGTAGGTAGACTTTGATGGAAGTCCTATTCTAGTAATGTTTTTTATGATACCACGTGTCGTGCTTGTGGTAAGTATCACGCCTATCCATAACAGTTGCAGTGCCACTTAGAGCTCTATTTAAATCGCAACGATCTTAGGGGCACTGCCACTGTGCCCGTCACCCTGAAACATAAGTCCCATGTGCCTGTAATTTCACCAGCACCCTTATCCTTCTAAACCGGAAGGCGGTAATGCTCACGTTACTGCTTGACGGCAGAAATAGATAAGGTATCAAGCAGTACTGCCCTGGATGAACTCTCTCACAATGAGCTCTATTGCTTCTAAAATGTGCAATTTTAATAAAACTTAGGCACATATTATGTATACTTAGCTACATGGTTACTCAGCACCTAGTTTTTAATTTTTTATTGTTAATAAAAAAAATGATATGCGAAAGTGAGATTTCTGTGACAAGGTCCGCTTCTGTGAAAACCTTACTTACCATTCATGAATTAAGCGTATAGTGGGAAAACTGGCTAGTGTCTCGCCACGTCCACAGGGGTGGCAAGCAAGATTGCTGCAGACCCGCTAGCAGTTCGGCGTGGTACCGTTGAGCCGCCAGCAAGTATGGCGCCGGGGGTAGCGGGCGCGGGCAGTGCGGTGGTGGTGGCGGCGGCAGACTAGGTGGCGACGGCGACGCTCGTCGTGGTTCCGGCTCCAGCAAAGCGTCGATAGTGAACGCGCGCCGCGGCCGCGGTCCCGTCGGCAACATCGCTGTTGTATCCGGAGCTTCCGGTGACTCTGGACTAGGTCTCGGACACATAGCTGCTGAAGGACCATATAGCCCGCTGCCTGGTAAACTTGCCGGCGGCGGGTGGCTACCAGCCTGTCTTGCTAGGAATGCTCTATTGAAACTAGCCAGCGCCGCCAGCTCAGCGTTCAAGCTGTCCTTTTCGCCTTTATGTAGCTTGAACCGCTTACGTCGGCGTAGCAGAGAGCCATTCTCGAACATGTCAAAGGCCTGCGGATGCAGCGTCCAGTAGGCGCCTTTGCCGGGCCGATCTGGTCGCCGCGGCACTTTAACGAAGCAATCGTTGAAAGAAAGGTTATGTCGTAGTGAATTCTGCCAGCGCTGCGTGTTGCGGCGGTAATATGGGAACCTGTCCATTATGAAGCGGTAGATCTCCGACAACGGCAGCATGCGCTCCGGCGAACTCCATATAGCCATGGCGGTCAATGCTATGTATGAGAAGGGTGGTTTTTGGTCACCATAGGACTCTCGTGTAGGGCGAGGCATGTTTTGGCACTGTGTGGCGTCGTAGAGAGGCGCCACGCGGCGTCGAAGGCGCACGTGAGCACGTCTCGCGGCACGCGGAGAGAGATAAGCACTGGGCGCGCAAGCGAGAGTGCTCGGCAGGCGGGCCGCGCGAGGCGCCGCCCCCTGCCCCACGCCAATCGCGTGCCGCCGGGTTTGTTTGTTGTTTTTGTCGGCTCCAGACCCGTTACACAGGAATTTAAATTGTTATCACGTTTACATTAAACAAAATTTATTCGACACCGACAACACTTGAGCTTGTTTCGAAATTGCAATGATTAAAGAAGCAGGGAGGTACTTATTGGTGCCGCGAGAGAAAGAGTCGAAATGATTGGAGACGGCATTTATTAATATTTTTATGAGCTGCGTCGGGCTATGCGCCATGGATCCATCATGGCTGACTTTTATTAGTAGAACAATAAAGTGGTTTTGTTTTAGAAGGTTATTTGCGGTAAAATAAAATCTATATAGAATAATTAATTAGACTAAAATTAATTTTATTTATCGCTACTTGCTTTCAAAACTAAAAAAATGCAAATGCTTATATCAAATACTCTTCTTGCATTCATCTTTGCCTAGAGATCTTTTTGTGACATGACTAAACCTTGTAGACTCTAATCAATTCTAGTACTAAACATGCTAGACCGGCAATGGCCGTGTGCGCCTGAGGCACTGCGACTGCGGCACGGCGGCGATACGACGGCGCGACGGCGGTGAGCGCGTCGCAAGGTAGCGCCGCGTGCTTTTTCCCGGAGGGCATAAATGGGCCATGCCAGATCGCTTTGACGACGTGTTAGATAAATTACACCTACAGGCTAGTTATAGTTTCACCTTTAGTTTAAGCTTTTACAGTAACCATAGTTTCTTGATATATAAAAAAAGACTATAAATTTGCATATCTGAATTTTAGCAATGCCTATTAAAGCTGCATTCGCCCAGCTTTGTTGACTTTTATCTTTTATTTTCTTACCGAAGACTTCAACGTTCGCTTTGTTTCGTGTTAGTAGTTTCTTTCTAAAGTATTTTCTAGCATCTTTAAAATCATAGTAAAAAAATATTTGGCAAACTTTTTTAACGTCATCGCAACGTACAGAGGGTGCGAGCACAGTACTGCACTCTCGGTGCAAATCACCCGCAACTAATGCGAATGTGGACTAACAATGTCGCTTATTCCTGCTTAATCGCCCGTCCACACACGAACTTATTACCCTTATGTTTGCTGCCTTTTGGGAAACCAGATTTATTCACCAATTTGATCTTAAAGTGAACGACTATATCTTTGAAATAAGTGTTTTAGGAAAAAATATTTAGATACCTCAGAAATAAGTCAATAAATACCTCAATATTCAATTATTCATCCCAATATATTAGACACAACTATATTAGCTACCTACTTATTTCGACCTGCGTTCAATCATGATGTGCATGATATGGTCATAATATAAAACTAGTATAGGAGTATAACAAATAATAATAATAAATAACGCACACACTAGGAAAAACGCCCCGCATTAGGAAAAACGGGTGCCATGGACACACACATAGAACAGATTACTCCCAAAACCCCTCAAATTACTCCCAAACTAATGAGAGATAAATGTAGGCCATAAAAATATTTCTCCCGGCCCGGGAATCGAACCCGGGACTACCACGTGGCACGGAAGTAGTTAATGGCTTAACCTACCGCCTTACGAGTAAAAGCCAGGAGTTCGAATCCTGCCTCGTACCTTTGACTTTTTCGAAATTGATGTGCGAGATTTGAAATTGTGAGGAAGCCTGCACGCTGAAGAAGGTTCACAACCCTCAAAAAACCCAACCCGCATTGGGCCAGCGTGGCGAACTATGGCCTAAACCCTCTCCTGAGAGGAGACCCGTGCCCAGCAGTGTATAAATGTAGGAAGAAATGCAGAATGTATAAATAGGTTTATGATGAATAATGATTTATATAAAGATGTCGTTTACGTTTATACTTACATACTTTTAGTATTATAATATATTAACTACAGTACCGGCACGCTATGATGGCCGTTTTGACAGATTCCAATAGTGAGGTCAACTCTCAATTCATTATCGAAAAAAATATAATCAAACGCGAGTCGGATCTATAAGTTTTTAGATTTATAAGTAATAGTGTAAGGGGTAGCGGATTAAAAAGTTTTAATAAAACGAAAATAAAAATGTTTACTTAATATATCGTAAATTCAAAACTGCTTTGTTTTGTATTGAACTATGACGCGAGTTTGCCGGAGGTAGGAGTTGTGCTGGCCGGCGATCCCATAAGTGACGATCATATTAGATTTAATTTTTTTTAAATTTCGAATTTCGAAAAACTAATGCCGAGGTGTGTCTTAAAATTATACATCCATAAATTTTACTGCACGTCAGTATTTACAACAATGTAGAGCAATTAGCTCCTTCAACGTAGTTATGAATTGATACGAAATTTGATGAGTCGACAATCGTCAAAATGGCTATCATGGCATACTTTAAGCACTATATTACTACACTACCACCACACAATATTTTTAAACGAACCCAAAGTTTTCTAATAAGAAGTTGACTCCCATATTAGATATGACAAATAACAATTCTGGATTCCTCAAAAGTCTTTTATCTATTAAAAATCCGACCGCGTCGCGCTAAATTGTCGGCGTCTGGCAAATAGGGTCATTAAATTCAATCGTTGGCCACGAGAAGACAGAAGCGTCACTTATGCGTCCTATGTAATTTAGTGGTATTAACGTTACAGGGTTACTTATATGGTTATGGTACAGGAGCATGGAGTGTGCTTAGTATGCCGAATATGTGCCGTCTATTGCGGCACCGGCATCGGCACAGGCGCTGGGAACAATGGCGGTGTCTTGGCGAGGCTTGTAGTGAATTACACAAATTGCTAGCTAACTACATGAGCCTTGGATCTCGTGAGATACGAGTATCAGCGGCTGCGCTTTGACGACTCCATAATTTTAGTCCGATTATAATTTTTTGATAATTCTGCAACCAATAACATTACATCGAGTTACCACAAGACGCGACTCTACCATGTTACAATGTTTATTTCATTTTTCTCGTCATTGGAATTCCACATTTCGTAAAATTACATGTAATTATTTCGTAATGTACAAGAATTTATAAAATCTAAAAAAAATACAAAAAATATGACTCACAAAAAGATAAAAGTGCTTTCAAATATGGCCTACTAGCAACGATATTTTAAAATAATAAAAAAAAGAATGAATCATAAATAACACTTCTAATGTATTTCTCATTTAAGTATAGGTATATTCATAATAATGACATAATGTAAATATCTATGGGGAAACGGCAGTATGATTCAAATTCAAAAATATCAGCGTGATATACGAAACTTTTCTAAAACTTTTATTTATGAGGTTAAATGATATGCCGTGAAATAAAACAGTCGATGTTCGCAAAATTACTGTCACCTGTTGTAGGACCCCATAGGCAATCATAGCACCTCGGATCGAATCGCCTTAATGATTTTCCTTTGAGAGCGCCGCCAGAGCCTGGACACACGTGAAAAAACCTTAAACACCTCAACCTTGTTATTAAGTGTGAATTCTACAAATTGTTCACAAATATTTGCGTCTACCTGTGCTTTTTTGCTACTATTATATTTGCCGTAACCGAATTAGGCCACCATGGACTCTGTTATAGATTGTAGTTTGTCAAGGAAATATTTCTAGTAATGAAATGCTATGTCTATTTTTTTTTTGATATTTTAGTTGATCAGATATTCTGCCTCTTATAGTATCGATGACATACACTATAATGCTTGCCATAGTGGTGAAAGGCTTTGCCTTGGGCAACAATCGGTAAGTACCTTATGCCTACTTACCGATTGTTGCCCAAGGTGTACTAGACGTACAGGAAAGGAAGCGGGGAGGCTCCTTCCGTGCACTTTCGTTCGATTAGATGTTAATTTGAATTAAAGTGCCAATATGTAAAGTGACTTAATTTGTCTACAAGAGGAGGATGCACGTGGGGAGGTTCAAGGAAGTCATGCCCCCACGCGGAAGCCAATCGCCAGTGAGTCCAACTCTTATGGCAGTTGTAGCATCTATAACAACAGACATTATAAAGATTTTTTTTGTACAATATCAAGTGACGGGATGAACAAGTCGTGCGCCTGATGGTAAACTACACGCCTGTCCATAACAGTTGCAGTGCCACTCAGAGCTTTAAAGTGCAAAGATTTGAGGTGCACTGGCACTGCGCCCGTCACCCTGAGACATAAGTTGACAAGTCCCATGTGCCTGTAATTTCACCAGCACCCTTACCCTTCAAAACCGGAACACAGTAATGCTGACATTACTGCTTGGCGACAGAAATAGGTAAGGTGGCGGTACTTCCCTGGACGAATTCTTGCACAAGGATAGATAATAGATGCGCATCTCTATTTTATAGATATAGATAGATTACATGGGATATCAGGGTGATTCTGCTAGTCAGATTCTTGCCTTGCTTATACATTCAATGGGAAGTTGAAAAGGGCTAAAGCTTTGAACAGTTCCAAAAAATATGTCCCGGAAATTAATTAGAAATTAGTAAAATTACTTGACTCCTTCTAGGTGTCGAAAGAGTACAAGATTAATTGCTTGTGCCTTATCCGCTTTACTTGAACCGAAGTCCAAAGTGCCGGGTAAAATGTCAAATTTTTTCAAAACACTTTCTAAAAGCCGTTTGTGAACATTAGAAATTGAATAGTTTTCTATTTACGAGATTCCAAATGATTAAAAATCAAACTGAGTATCGATGGCATTCAACGATTAGCCACTTTGTTCCAGATTTATCCAGTTCTATTTATTTTTGTACATTTTGTGTGCTATGTTAAGTATATGCTTGTGATGATAGCTATTCAGATATTATTTAATTTTGTTCGGGAATTTAATGTTCATAGTAATTTTTCGTGAGCGCTCGCCGCTCACCAGACAGTTTAGCAGGTTATTTCCTAATACTCGTATAATGTCCTTTTTATTGAGTGTAAATAATTGAGTTTGTATCAGCGGCGAGCCGCCATCTGCTCGCTTGCGTTTTAACACTCGTTT